TGACTTTGTGCTTTTCTGAGCACTCCCAAGCGAGACGAAATTGTCCCGAAATTTGCGTGGTGTGTCAGGTTTGTGTGGTGTGCCATTAGTTTCAATCACACGATGCACTTGCGTTAAACAGCTGATCATCGCTTTCATTCGACAGCTTGAGCTCTTCTGCTTGACAATATCCGTACATGTTACATGTTGTCAGTTTTGTGTGTTCACCGGCTTGATGCAAAGGCATGAGTGCAGCAACGCAGGTTCCTCCCTGGTTGCTGTTAGTACAGAGTCTTTAGGGTCTCGGAGTGCAGAATATGTCATATGTCCTATGTTGATTGCAGGGCCTCGCCTGGGGCGCTTACACAAAGGAAGGTGAAGCAGTTGGTGATGCCTGCGGACGCTGCCTCAAAATCTGCGTGCAGATTCTTTGCATGGAGTGGGTGGTGGCCATCGCTCGCATGGAGGGCAACGAGCAACCCAAGGACCAGGTTCTCCTCGATCTTTGGGCGGAGATCGAGGCGATCCTTGTGGCTGCAGACGAGTTCTCGGAAAGCAACCCCTCCTTGACACTCCCACACGCGGTGAAGGCCCCGAGTAGCGTGAGCAACAGCTTCAAAGTCACCGAATGTCTGTACGTGGAAGTGGCATTCCTAACGAACGAGGAGCTGGTGAAGTACGTGGGTGCTTCGGCAAAGACTTTGGGCCTGACGCTCGAGGAGCGGCCAGGCTTGGATGGGCTGACAGTCCTTCGCGGCGTCTATGTTTCGCTGAAGGACTTTCCTGCTTCCATGAGGATGTCAGATGTGCTGAGTTTGACAAAGGTCAAGATCTCTGTTGAGCGTGACCTGACTCATTCAGAGCATCTGCTGAAGCCAGAAGCCCAGATGCACCAAAGTCAGGCTTTGGCCCTCAGAACGAAGGCTTTCGAGAAGATGGCCGCCCGCCGCCCGGATTGCCTGAAGCTCGACAAGTTCACGAGCCTTCCAACCATCACCAGCTTGCAGAGCGACTTCAAGCAGCGCGAGGAAGCTTTGAGGCAGATGGAGGCTGGTGGATCTGCTGATGGGTCCACAGCGCGGAGGGCCGACACGACGAGGTCCGACCATGCCGGCATGTTTGGTTCCCTGGAAACAGAGCTTCCAGCCAGCAAGGGCCAGGGCAATAAGAGGAAAAACAAGCTGGGCGAAGCCAAAGCAAAGGCCAAGGCCAAGATTGAGGCTGCTCCACCGGGGGTTCCGAGAGATCGAAGCCCTGACCCGTCCCAGTCGAGAAGAGCATCCAATTCGCAGAAGCCGGCTCGTTCGCTCAGCAACTTTGGAGACGGTGGCAAGCCGTCAACTGAGGCTTCGCTGACAGAGGAGGAGGCACGGAAGAAGCTCTCAGACCGAGAGCTTGTGAAGGTGGCTGTTCGGCTCGGCAAGATTCCTGATTGCTTTCACGGCCTCGATTGCAAGCGAATCTTCGAAGGCATGCGATTGGGACGCTCCATCCGGCATGTGCGGGGCTTAATGGCTTAAGAGTCTCAGCACGAGGCCACGAGGCCAGGAGGTCATGACAGTGCCTCAAAGCAAGCTTTTACCCCGATCTTGTTCGGCATCTGTGCCTCAAAGCAAGCGTTTACCCCGATCTTGTTCGACATCTGTGCCTCAAAGCAAGCGTTTACCCCGATCTTGTTCGACATCTGTGCCTCAAAGCAAGCGTTTACCCCGATCTTGTTCGGCACCTATGCCTCAAAGCAAGCGTTTACCCCGATCTTGTTCGACATCTATGTCTCAAAGCAAGCGTTTACCCCAATCTTGTTCGACATCTGTGCCTCAAAGCAAGCGTTTACCCCGATCTTGTTCGACATCTGTGCCTCAAAGCAAGCGTTTACCCCACTCTTGTTCGACATCTGTGCCTCAAAGCAAGCGTTTACCCCGATCTTGTTCGACATCTATGCCTCGGGTTGTAATGTAAGGGGAACAGAATAGGAGCATGTTCCGTGTTTGAAAGGCAAATCAAAGCAGCAAATGTGAGACATGTAACAACTGCAGACAAACAGTCGTTCTTGAGGGAAGCAAGCATGCCTGGGCCGCCTGGTACTACGGGTACTACAATAGAAGTATGTCTCTTGCTTCGAAAGCAAATGTAAGCAGCAGACGTGCGATCTGTTTAAACTGTAGACGAAGACGTAATGAAGCATTTTTTTGACGGGGGCAGGTCTGCCAGGTATGTGTGGCTCAGTGCCTTCTGCATATAAGGCCCAAGGCCCTAAATCCTAACCTCAAACCTGGGACGCGTTCGGGCCCCCCTTTCCAGGTCCCGGGTTTATGGTTAGGTTAGTCAAACCCTGCAGGCCCTATATGTCATGCATGCGTGCATGCGTGCATGTGGTGAGCGATAGCTATTTCTATTTTATTCCTGCCAATACATTGTGCTTGAGGAAGAAATCAAAATAGCACACATAACTGAGGTAACCGGGGACAAGCAGACAACTTCTAAACGAACCAAGACACAAAAGGAGAATTCGATCAGCCATTTTTGGGGAATGTCCACAACAGAAGGGGCAGCATAGAATTCGGATGGCTCCGGCCCGACTAGAATTGCGTAGCCGTTGAAGATAAGTTGTGCACACCCTGGGCAGACAGTTGCTCAACCCACTCAAGTACTGTTCAACATATAACCCGCTGAAGTGCTGTTCAAGATACATTGAGCACACCATGGGCAGACAATCGTGTAACCCGCTCAAGTTCTGTTCAAGAATTTGTGCACAGCATGGGAAGACAATTGGGTAACCCCCTGAAGCTCCGTTCAAGAAACGTTGTGCGCACCATGGCTATGCTGCAGAATGTCCCATGCATGCCTGCATGCATGCGTGACTCGTTCGTTCATGGATGGGTGGCTGGATGGATGTATGTGTGCATGTAAGTGTTTCTGAGATGTATGTACGTATGTACATATGTAGGTATCCATTACAAAATGTGTTTGCATGTACTTCTGTTTCCTTGCGTCTCTGCAAATCTGCGAACTGTATGTCCCTGTCACAAGTGATCGGCAGTGACGAATGAGGCACGCGAATTGGTCGAGACCATGAAGTCCAAGGGCTTCAAAGAGCACCTCACTCTTCAGAGACGCGTCGCGGTCTGTGAAGCGGCAGCCACCCTCAACAAGCACCAGAAGTCCTTGAAGAACCTGGCAGAGGACCAGCTCCACGAGTGTCTGCAGTTGGTGGTGGACGCCAAAGTGGAGCTGCCGTTGATGATTTCCGCCGGGGCTCTGGAGGCTGCGTGCGCGAGCAAGATGGGCATGATTGGCGAGGGAGCTTGGAGCAAGGCGAGCTCTGAGCACATGAACGACTATCTTGCGATGTGGATGCCGGTGCCGCTGGAGCCCGACTCTGACTGCACGTTCGACGTGCTGAAGCCGAGGTTGCATTGCTTGCTGGACCTCGTGGCAAAGAGTCTGGACTCAGAACATCCACTTTGCCTTTACGGTGCGGAGACGGCTGAGGGCCACAATGACAATCAAGGCGACGATGATGACGACGAGCGGATGGAGAAGGACAGTTACAAGGACAATGAGAATATGGTGCCGGACGATCAGCGCAGCTGGGAGGTCCTGCCCCGTGTTGATTTGGAGGGTTCCCGATAGTTGAAACACGATAAACGTCGTACTAGTCCTCGTTTTGACTTGCGTGTGGCTTGCACGGGCTGTGACCTGTGTTGCCTAGAACTGCTTACATGTGAGTGCATTTGTATGCGTCGGACTTGTTGTATTTTGGATGTAGGCAGAAGCATGTATCTATGCGAATGTATGCATGTGTGTGTGTGGGGTCTGTACACATGTGTCTAGGTATGTATATACGTATATTTCGTAGGCATGTATGTATGTAAGCAGCTAGAAAGCTCGGCTAGTTTAGTTCAGAGTCTAGAGATTCTTGTCCATTTACTATGTAGAGAAAGAAAGGAGTCGAGAGTCGAGTTGAAGTCTTGCACAACACGGTTCAGAGGCCATATTTTGATTAGTCAACACCGAATAATCTCTAGCGGAGCAGACAGCCATCGATGTCTTTGGGGAAATCAGGTCGTTTGCCAAGCTGCGGTGTGTCACATGTTTTGGGTAGGGTAGCTGTAGCTGCAGCTGCATGGTAGCTGCTTTGGCCGCTGCTTTGGTCTGCGTGTAAACATACTCACCAGCAGGGCTGGATAGGTAGCGGCTAGGTGTAACTTATCAGTTTGTGTAAGGAAACCTGAAGCAAACTATAACTGAGGCGTTGTAACGTTGTACTTGGTGAACTTGAATGAGGTTACATTGCTTGAGTCTCCGATTTCTTCATCCGAAGTCTGTCAAAGAAAAGTCCCTGAGGACTGAGGCCCTCGACCCTTGTCATACGTCGTTTGCTGCTATGAACCAAGACTTGTTTGGTGTGTGGCAGTCTGGCCACGGCCTTCCTATGCAATAGCAGTCAATAGCAACGAGAAGTAGGGACAGCATGGATGTTTTAGTTTTGCCGCTAGCGAATATTGCATCTCCTTCCCGTGGGTCCCTCGTGTCCTATCGGACCTATCTGCCAGAGTATCCAAACGAGGGTTGCACAAGACTTACAACCTAACTTCATGGTGACGTGCTGCGTGCAGCTTGATTTGGAAACGTGCTGCCGTGATGCGCGGCACCAGTGGGGCTGGTGTTACAAGGTTGCAACAAAGTCTTCACATGACATCCTCGGGTAACTTTTCTGAAGCTTTGACCTGAGCCTGTTGCAAGCCGGCAAGCCTCGCTGCAGTGTCGTTAGGCCATCTAGGCTTGTTTGCTACTGATGCCAGTGGTCATGTTGCTCGACGGTTGATGATACGGCCTAATGGGGCTTGACTCTGTCTGGTGATGAGTCGCTATCAGAGGCTGAACAGATTCTTTCTATATTCTATCTATACCAATCTATATTCATCCTTATTATTGTTGGTCTATTCATACCAATGGTCTTCGCTCACAATGTGGCTGCTATACTGCTATACGTAACACGGCAGGTGCTTGCGTCTGCCATGATCGACAGCTTTGCAAGCGGCTACGTGACGAAGCTGCTGAAGCAGATCCCATTCAAGAAAGAGTGCCAGCAGATCATGGTCAAGATCTGCCAGTCAATGGTCGAGGCCATGGATCTGGCCTACACGTCCTTGTCCGACGAGCTGTCCGAGCTCCCGGACCAGATCATTGCGGTGATGGATGTCGTCCAGATCTTCTGCAGAGCCATACTGGCACTGCTTGTCCCCATCCCCAACTATTTGGGGAGCAGTGCCAAAGATGTTGTGGCCGTCACTGCCGCGAAAGACGACAACAGCCTGCTGCTGATGCTGAAGAACGAGATGGCGACCTCGTTCTGGAAGCCTTTGATCCTTGATGTCAACCTCAAGGCTGGAATGGCAAAGGAGCTCGGCCCGGTTCTGAAGAGCCACACCGACAAGGTCGCGACAGTTCTGAAAGAACCAGGCCCACTGTTGGAGAACTTGGCAGCGCTGAACGGCGCCCTGACCGACCTCCCGAAGCTGGCGGCGAACTTGAGGACAGGTGCGACCCAGCAGCTGCAGGACGTGATGCAGAAGGCGGTCAAGTTCATCATCAAGGACGTCGTGCAGCTGAAGGATTTCACGGGTGAGGACTCGGGTTCCCTTGCCAAGGCCATCACCACCTTCGTGGACAAGCTTGGATCGGCTGGGTCCCTGCATGATGCTTTGGCGGATGAGGTGCTTCAGCTGCAGGCATGGCAGTCGAACTCCGCGGCGTCGCTGGCGGAGGCGGAGACCAAGCGTTGGTTGGACCAATGTATGGCCTCCTCTAGCAATGGGACCGACTTGGATTTGGAGCAGCTTCGCTTCCAGCTGCAGCACCGTGCCGGCCAGAGCTTCCCATGCTTCCCCGAGGACGTGCAGAACCAGGTGGAGAAGTTGTACGTGCCGCTCCTGATGCTTCTGGATCGGAAGGCTGCTCGGAAGTCGAATGTCGAAGTGGTTGGCAACTTCCTTTTCTCCGCCCTTGTTACCCTAGTTGTTGTGCAGCTGTAGCTCTGCTCAGCTATGCTTGGACAATCTGTGCTTGACAACAGCAACTCCGACACATTAACAGTCACTAGCAGCGCTAGTGTCACTAGCATGATGCAGGAGTTTGTGTACTCCGGGTACTCATCAGTGCCCTTACATTTCTGTGTCGTGACGTATTCGTGTGCATTACCACAGAAGCCGCACGTGAGTTGAAGCCCAATTGCATGAACAGTTTTCTGGTAGCAGTCGAAGTTGTGCGGTGCCCAAACATTGTAAACGTGGTTAATGTGTTGGCATCGGTCGTTCGAAAGCAGGAAGTCAGTATGTACATGGACATAAAGGGCAGTGTGCAAGAGCAAGCAGCCAGAGTTTTTACACGAGCTTCTTCGCACTGGGTGTGATGTCCACTCGGTGAGAGCTTCCCCAACCTAGCAATCATGTGTGTGTTCATGAACCAATGACTTGGCTCGCGAATCTTGCGCAGTACTCATTCTGACGAGAAGGAGTTTGTTTCTGCCGCAGGATGCCCTAGGGCCCTGAAACCCTAGAGTCCTGTCCTAAAGGTTCTCATTCATAAACCGATCGGGTTTGTAGTAGTACTTATCCATGACCTCAGGTTACGACGCACGGCAAGGACCGCGAGCACATGGAAGGGTTCGTGCAGCTGGTGACCTTGTTCATGCAGGCAGTGCCTTGCACCGAGGCGGATGTGACCATGGTTAGCGCCGTTCTCAAAATGCTGACCTCGGCAGTCGAGTTCATGAAGATCGAGGCTCACTACCTGTCCTTGGGCAACACGACCAACGAGTGCGTGCGCAGAGATGTGAACAAGGTCACCTTTGACAAGATGCTTCGAGCCTCGTTGCATTATGCAAAGACCCTCAAGGCTGCACAGGCTTGCCAGAACGAGGAGCCGACCTTGAGCCTGGGGGATCCGCCGCTTGCCGACCAGGTCAAGGATGTACAGGCCAGCGACATCAGGCGCTTCTCTTTCTTGATCCAGAGCATCGACAAGATCTACGATGAGGCTGTCCGGAAAAGCTCGGCGCTGAGGCAGGCGTCGATCGAGCACGTGATGGCTTTGATCAAGGACCTGGAAGCTGCCTGTGAGAGTGTGGAGGACTGTGGCGGTGGCTACGAGGTCTGCCATAAGGAAACGTGTTGGAAGAAAGGCTTGGCCAACACGGCAGAGGAGGACTTGCAGACCATCCTCCGGGCGGCAGCCGCCACCGTGTCCACATGCGATCCTAGCACGATGGCGAAGCACCTGGCTGCTCTGGGCAAGGCCGGTTTCGTTTGATGCAAATCTGTATGTTGAGTCGAGTGACCGAATGGGCGAGTGACCCTAGGCCGTAAGGCCCTAAGCCATAAGGCCCTAAGGCTTTAAGACCCTAAACCCTAAGCCCCTAAGCCCTAAGCCTAAACTGGCCTAAGCCCGAAGTCTCGAAGTTCAAGTCTTTGGTCCTCTGAGTTTCTGCTATGTGGTTGGGGCACAAGAAACCTAAAGCCAAGGACAAGGCCCTGGACTCCGTACATTTCGAAATGGATGTAGTAATGCAGTAAGAGTAGAGTTTGATTATTCTCTGCGTCTTGTTTATAAATGAGACTTCAAGAGTTGGTAACTCAGAGGAATCGCACTCGAAGTAAAATCCCAAAGCAAGATACAGATCACTTGACATGAGATAGTTTGAATAGAGGCAGTTTAGTTCTGCAACAACATCAAAAGCAGTAGAAGTAGACGTGCTCGTGAAGGCCTCAAGACATGATAATTCTGGTGTGCGAGCAAAATCAAAGCAGCAACCATTCTTGTCACGGTTTGTGGACTCATAGATATGTTGTCTGTCTGAGTAGAAAGACTGAAATCACTAGATCACTAGAGCCAGTAGAATCGTGACCGGTAACTAGTATCACTACAAAGACAACCAACGCAGTCCAGAGTCCAGAGACCGAGGCCCGAGGCACCAGAAACTGAGCTCACCAGGAAAGTCAGGAAGTGAAAGTTGCTTTGTGGTCACACAAGTCACAATTCATGCGGCATTGTTGCAGGTTTGCAGTTTGCGATCTTTCGGTTATGTCGGTTAGGTGGGAAGGTTTTGTCTGTGTTTATTTTTGCGTGCAGTGCCTACCAGCTACCATGTTACCATGCCTTACAATGCTGTATGTGTTGAAGATGTAATGCTTGCAGTTTTGGCCCCGATGTGCAGTGTTTGACCCGGAACGTCTGGAGTCTCGATATTGCCTGCCTGTATAGGGTGGATGTTGGCTTTTGAATTTAGCGTGCTCGGGTGAAGAAACTTGTTAACAATGATCATTGCTGGGTTCATCGAGACCTAAGACGCCAGGCCTAAGGATCGTGTAGTTGGGTAGCGAGTGGCAGTCGGGTAGCGGCAGCAGCAACTTTGCCAGAACCGTTGCAGGATTCTGTGCAAAAAACAAGTGTCAAGCAGCGGAAAAGTCAGTACTCGAGATTTCTCCTACTAGCACTTAGAGTAGAGACCCGACTTTGCATATACGTGGTGCAATGTACAATGTTACAAGGTTGCCGTGCAGTGTCCAACATGTCTGATGCTGATACCCCTTCGCGTGAAATTTTCAAGATTAACTAATGATCACTGATGTAAGCAAGCCTTCACTTGAGGTGCAAGGTCAGTACGTGCACTTCGAAAAGAAGTACTTCCAGTCCCTGATCTACATGGGTGTGCAAGAGACGAAGCTCCTGCAAGGGGTGAATACCCGAGCCTTGACAGCTTTGAAGTACACGAGGGCACTTCACACGGAGGGCCTCCTTGTCTACTGTGCGCACACTGAAGATGAGCAGGAGGCAAGGAAGAGTGCGGATGAACAGATCAAAAAGCTGGCAGCAGAGACGGTGGACCGTGACCTCATCCATCCAAGGCTCATCGCATTGGCAGAGAGTCTGGTGAAGTGAAGCAGCGAAGCAGACCGTAGCTGCTAGCTGTAGCTGCTGGCTGTAGCTGCTCCTGTCAGCTGCACTCTTGAACTTTTGGGCTGTTGCTGCTTGCCGCTTGCCTGCTGCGGCTGGTGGCTAGCGCTAGCGCTTGCTGCTGACACAGTGGCACGCCGCCACTAAGGCGAACCTTCGCAAACATCACCGTCTGTGCCTCGCTGCTTTGTGAAATAGCACGGCAAGAAAATCAATAGAATGTACGGTAGCCAGATAGCCGCCACTGTCAGTGTCACTATTTCAACAGTACAGTAGCAGTAGCAGCAGCTCAGTAGCAGCAGCAGTTAGCAGCTAGCAGCAGCTAGAAGTTAGCAAAGTAGCAGTTCGTCAGCCAGTCTTGAATTTAAGCACCGAACAAGTTAGATTGTTGTATTCCTCGGTTCGATGTGCCCGACAGTTGCAATTAGCAGCCGCTACAGTCAGTTTTTGCTTCAGCCTATGGCTTTTGACACCGGTGAATTATGCATTCAGTTACCAAGTACCTACTTCTTGCTGGTGGCAGCTTGCAAGATGGTGAGCTTGCGGGGTCAGACCAATTCTCGAATGGAAGCCCTTTTAATTGTTCGCCAACTCATGTCTTCTGTGCATCCGACTCATTAAGTTGAGTTGGGTGACGGCAACTTGGAGAGGCGATGGTTTTCCTTGCAGTCCTTGCAGCAAGCAAGTTGCCACGATTATCAGTTTCGCCAGTGCCTTGTCACGTAGAAGCCCCAAAGTTGTGCACGGGATCACTGGATCCAACATAGAGTCATAAGCTATAGAGCTTAACGGTTAACGGTTAACGGTTACGTCGTTACGTTGAGAGTTTAGGCGGATATATATATATATATATATATATATATATATTTCTACTGTGTTAGCAAAGGGACCCAGCAGTGAGTAGACGGTCAGTCGAGCTGTTGTTTGTGGGCCACAGTGGCAAGAGGGGCGATTCGCTTCTGCACCATTCCTGGTCATCAGCCAGAATCAGGGATCTTTCGAGAGAGACTCTCGACTCTAGACTAGACTCTAGGTTCTAGACTGTTGACCATTGTTCAGCACTAGCCATTGGATTCCAAGCTCAAAGATCTAAAGGCTCCTGTGCTGGTACGGCCGTCTGACTGTGTGATTTCTTGCCTGGGACCCGGGATGCAGTGCACTTGTTGTGTTTAAAAGAACAACTCTGGGTGCAGCGAGCACCAATAGTTATCAATAGATTCGGATTGGAAGTTTTTATGAAATTATGATATTGACATATATGGTAGATTTTTGCAATGGTGTTCCACATATGTCATATGTTTCATATTTGCACATTTCGATTTTCATAGCCGGAGTTGTGATCAAATTTTCTTGATACGAGTCCTGCCGCAGATATACGACGTATATACGAACCGTCACATGCCTAGCCGATCCCACTTGCGAAGTTCAGTGATAGTTTCACGTATCGGGGGAAGACTGGTAGATTTTTGCAATGGTGTTCCACATATGTTTCATATTTGCAGATTTCGATTTTCATAGCCGGAGTTGTGATCAAATTTTCTTGCTGCGAGTCCTGCCGCAGATATACGACGTATGTACGAACCGTCACATGCCTAGCCGATCCCATTTGCGAAGTTCGGTGATAATTTCACGTATCGGGGGAAGACTGATGTTTCGGCATGCCTTTTCCTGCAGAGATGTTGACCGTTGTGAGCGCATTCAGGTCCATTCTACCTGTTTTAACCCTGATCTTGTATTCTTTTTCACGCGCGTTGATGTTGTTCTTGTTTTGTCCTGTTTTGGTCCTATTAGCCCTATCAGCCTTTCATGTCTCTGTGTTCTGTGTGGTCCTATGGGTTCGTTTGTAGCCTCATGTGTATGTTTATGTTTCACGCCAGTTGTTGAGTGTTTAACTCTTTCTGTTTAAGTGTTTTTGGCATTCTCTTCCGCATCAGTTATTTTTGGTCCTATTATTTGACCTCATTTCCCATAATCGTATCCTCCCTTTATCGCAGGTGAACCTTAGTTTTGCGATTATACTCATATTTTCCGCTGATTTCCTACTTTTATCCTATCGATCTTTATGTATTTCGTATTTATGTTGTACTTTTGCCAGTAACTTCTTACTTTTGTCGTAAATGAATCTGAGTTTTCCTGTGTGTTTTCTATTTAATGCCATGCTTACTTCATATATTTCCTTTGTTTATTGTATTTTTTGTGTAAACGTTGTTCTTGGCTCCCATTTTTCTATATTTCTTCGAACAATTTCGCCCTGTTGTGCTAAGTGAATCGTAATACTCCTATGGATTTCCTGTGTATTTCGTACATTTGTTGTATTTTTCCAAGTATATTCTTACTTTTATCGTACGTGAATCAGAGCTTTCCTATGTATTTCTTATTGATGTTGTATTTTTTCCCTATTTCTGCTAGGTAAATCGTAGTTTTTGTGTAAAAGAGGTTCTGGGTCCTAATTATTTCCTATTTTTTCCGTATTAGTTCTTCCTATTTTTTTCCTATTGTGTCCCTATTTTCCGATTCGCAGGGTGTATTTCCAATTCGTATCCATTTCGTATTTCAAATGTATTATTATCCTAAATAAATAAAACCCTACTTGTAAAGCCTTTCCATATGCTTCGACGTCTTAATCATAGTTGGAAAATGGATGCTCTGCGGGAATGGATGCAGTCCTCTGTGAGAACGAATGGAGTCAGCACAGCACATGCATCTGGCAACGGATGATCTGGCAATCGGATGGGATCGGAAATAGAAGCTCGGCACCCGGATGGGGCTGGAGTGCGGCGTAACGTCTGGTTCGAAGGCTTAACCCTTTACCTGAAACCCTAAACCCCTCAAACTCCAAAGCCCTAAACCCCTTTTCCTTGAACCCCCAAGCCCAAGGGGAGGGCAGCTGCTGACTTCTGTGAGGCTCCTCCTGCCGGGAAGGTGCGGAAGGCACGACGTGCTGCAGCAGCTCCAGCAAAGACTCCCGCGACCCCACCGCAGAGGCCGCATGCCTTCGGCAACCTGAAGAATAGATGCATGCACATAAATATATATATATATATATATATATATATATATATATATGTACATAAATGTACACGTATATGTTCATAGACATTTATATGTACATACATATGTATACATACATACATACGTACATACATACATGCACACATGCGTATAATTATTACAGGTTTTAAGGGCTTACGCACTCATGCATTACTACAATCAGATTGAGGCTTTGGGGCTTCATGCATTACTACAATCACGGCCGCCCCCCCTAAGGGGGGGAGGGGTGGGGGGGTGGGTAAGGGGGGGCGGAATAGGTGGCATACCTATTTCGATGTTTTTCATATGTTGGGGGGCTTGGGGGACTGTAGCGCAGAAGGTTGTGTGCTGAGTGGCTCAGGTTTCGGGTTGAGCGTGCGAAGGCGACCCCGAATCCACGCTAGACCCCACCTATGTATCCATGATGCTGGACTCCTTGCTGCTAGCCTACTACTAAGGTATGTACTGCTAGCCCACCAGCTATGGCCTTGCCTAGAAGCCTTCCCCAAGCCTTCTAAGCCAGGAATAAATAGGTGGGAAAAGGTGGTGCAAGAGCCTTGCGCCTCGTAGGCGACCCCCAACCCCCCCTTCGACTCCACCTATTTCTCCTTGACGCTGGACTCAGGCAGGTTCTTGGAGCTAGCCTATTTCTAAAATATGTGCTGCTAGCCCAGCAGCTATGGCCTTGCCTAGAAGCCTTGTTAGCTAAGAATAAATAGGTGGGAACAGGTGGGGGGACCGTAGCGTGCAAGAGCCTTGCGCCTCGTAGGCGACCCCCAACCCCCCCTTCGACTCCACTGATTTATCCTTGATGCTGGACTCCTTGCCGCAGCCACCATCCCCAAGCCTTATAAGGTAGGTATAAATAGGTGGGAACAGGTGGCCCGTAGCGTGTAAGAGGCTTGGGCCTCCTAGCGACCCCGGACCCCTCCCTGCATCAGTCCGTGCGTCTCTCCCTGCTCTCTATCTCTCTCTCTCTCTCCCTCTCCCTCTCTCCCTCTCTATCTTTCTATCGTTCGCAGTCCATAAGTTCATAAAAGGATGGTGCTGGTGACGATAGTACCAATACGATACTGCACGTGGAGATAGAAGGTCGTCATGCTGCTATTCTAATAGTTTCCCACCTATTTCCTAGACCCCCCCAACTGTAGCAAAATAGGTGGCGGAAACAGGTGGCACTAGGGGGTAACCCCCCCCCATTCTCACTATAGTAAGGGGGGGGCCCTCTACAATCAGATTGAGGCTTTGAGTATCCTATCGTCATTCAGGCTAGTTGTTTAGGGACCAAGGGACCAAGGGAGGGATGCAGGGGCCCGCGACATGGACTGTCGTCGCTGCTTGACCTCTGGGGGATGGGGGGAGGCGGGATGGGCATGGGAGCTAAAACGAAAACGCTTGTGCGTCAAGGCTTGGTGGGAAGTGGAAGGCCAATGACTCGAGCCTCCTGCATGGAGTCGTGATGCAGGAACCCCAAAAGAAGTGGTAAACATGACTTCAATTGTTTGGCCCTGGCTGCCTGCAGACTGCCGAGAGCCACAGCGGACGGGATCGGGTCGACCTCTGCAACCAAAGCAGCCAGCCAGCCCCAAAACGGCGCAGAACCCATGGCGCCAGGGGGCAGTGATGTAAGAACCTGATGAAAGACAGCAGTGGATCTCATAAGGCTTATTGCTGAATCTGGGTCCCGTCCTATCGGTCTTCCTGGAGGGATGCAGAACATTTTCAGTCTGAGCCGTAAGCCCTTTAACCAGTGGGTTGTTTACGAGGTTCATACATTGATGTGGGTTTCTAGAACTTTTTAGAACTTCTATCCCTGTAACAATACCAAGATCGAATTTACACACCAAGCCACAAACAAAAACAACACTCCTCTGTGGAACTCACAGAATCCTTAATTTAGAAATTAGTACAATTCCAAACGGTCCAAGTACTAGTATGGTATATACTTTTGGGGC